ACGTACTAAAATTACGTTAGTAAGTAAGTTAGTTAGTTTAACGTAACCTAAACTACTACTAATAGATCATCTCGACTACAGATATATATATATATATATATATATATATATATATATGAGAAAAAATGGATTTCAAGTCTTAAACAAGTGCATGTTGTACTGTTTTTTTGGAACGTCAATTTTCAATATTTTAAAGTATTTATATATATACTCGGTCTACACTACTTTTGAAGTTTTAAATTTTATATTTATATATGAAACTAAATTTTTCGGTCATCATGAAGATTTGTAGTATTGAAACAACATCTTTCAAGACTATTTGAAGGTGCGCCTTACTTTGATTGTTTAGAGCCTCAGCCTTATACAAAACACACCCAATTAAAAATATATAAAATATTAAGCTAGGTCTAGGTCAAATCCGGGTCTACCTTAGACCTAGTTGGGTTGGGTTAGTCCCATAGTCAGCTAATCTCCGTTTAAAACACGATTTTTTCAAAAAATCTATGTTTTTTGGAATCCGTTTAGAATTCCGAGTTTTCCAAAAGCTATCAAAAAATCACTTTGTTAACGGAAACGATATAAATCCGTATTTTATCATCATCATCTTCAAAAGATATCCAAAAATCACTTTTTTAATGGAAACGATATAAATCCGTATTTTATCATCACCATAGCCTTTTCCCAATTAATTGGGGTCGGCTACACGAATCATCGACTACATCATCGTCCATATTTTATCTTTTTTTCAAAAAAAAAAATTCAAAAAATCTTATTCCATATAACTTTAATTCTTCATAAACTTAATATTATTGAATTTTGGTTTAAAGATAAGTACATTAATAGTGAGAGTAAATTATGAATCTTAAATTAATAAAAAAATTCTATAAAATTTTTTACCAATGAGTTCCCTTAAAAACAGTGTACGAAAAAATGCAAGCAATATATTATTGAAATTTTTGTTTAAAATAATTGTATATCTTAAAATAATAGGAAAAATTAGAAGAAGAGTAACTTAATGAAAAATCTATTTTTTTTTCTTTAAACCCATAACGTCCTTATATTGAGCAAGAGATAGTTCAATGATATTAAATATTTAGGTAGCTAGGAATTCATTGCAATATTCAAATTATCTTAAACATTTTGTTATTTTTTTATGCATAGGGAACTTTGATTAATTTTATTTTTTATTTTTGTATTTTATTGGTATATAAACATTGCATTTTGGATGTACGACTATTTTACATATTTGAATCTTTGTATATATTGAGGGTTTTTCTTTTTGAAAAACAATCATATACCTTGGTTCACAATTCTTGTTATTTGTTGATTAGTTATTTTGTTTAATATTTTTGTCTTTTTTTCATTTTGCGCTTCCAATTAATCTGCGATTTTCTTTGTGATGCGACAACCGAGTAAGCGCTAGTGTTGGATTTATTGAAAGTTTCAACACTAAAATGGTTAAATATTACTCTAATGACACTAGTAAGGCTATAAATTTATTATTTATGGGTGAATAAGGCTAAACAATTATTGTTTAATAGCTTTAGTATATCAATACAATAGGTGATCATAATCCTATACCGTGTCATTTTTATATATCCGATTTTTTTACTATATTTTTTTGAACCGAATCCGAAATATTCACGATTCTATAGCTTATATTATTTTTTGATGATCCGTATTTTTTACCTGATTTTTCGTCCGATTTTTTGAAATAAAACTGTTACTGATGTTTTGGTCACCCGATATCTTATTATTCCCCAATTTGCTATGGTCGGTCCATACCATAGTTAGCAAGTCTCCGTCTAAAACATGATTTTTTCAAAAAATCTCTGATTTTTTTAAATCCGTTTAGAGCTCTGACTTTTCAAAAGATCTTCAGAAAATCATGTTTTTTCATAGAACCGATGTGGACCTGTGTTTTATCTTTTTTAAAAAAAAACCTCTTCCTTATAACTTTATTTCTTCATTAACTTAACATTATTGAATTTTTATTTAAAGAAAGCAAATTAAGAGTAGGAGTAAATTAAGAATCTTGATTTAAAATAAAATTCCATAAAATGTTTCACCAATAACTTTCCTTGAAAAAATTTTTTACAAAAAATTACAAACAATATATTCTCTAAAAAACAAGATATCATACCAATTGTATATCTCAAAATAATAAGCAGAGTTAGAAGACTAACCCAATGAAAAATGTTTTTTTTTCTTTAAACCATGTGCATCCTTATAAAGAGCATTTTGTGTGAGATTATAATTTGCTTAAAGATTTTGCATACAAAAGATCTAAGTAGCCAGGAATTCAGTATGAAACTCTATTTTGTTTAAGCATTTTGTTGCTTTTTTCATATATAGAGAAGTTTGATTGATTATATTTTTTATTTTTTAATTCATTGGTGTATATAACATAGCATTTTGGATGGACTACTATTTTACGTATTTATGCATGTAATTTGTTTTAGTTAATTGCAATCCTATACTAAAGGTCTTTTTTTGTGTTTTTTTATTCTTCAAATAATAACCATATATCTTAGTTTATAGTTATTGTTATCTACTAATATAGTTTTTGAGTTATTTATATTTTATTTTATATTTTAAATAAATCTATGATATGTTTCGTGCGACAACATAATAAACACTGTTGTTGGACTTACTGAAAGTTTGGATAATAAATTTTCGATGGACTTTTTGGAACAAAAACGAGTTGTTACCTATGTTTTGGCTTGCTGATTTTTTTATTATTTTCCGACTTTCTAACTATGGTCCATACCCTAATCTATAAACGAGAATTGGTAATTTTCCCCCAAAGAAAAAAAGAAAATAATAATTAATTGTTGCATAGTACGGCCCCACATCACTTCTGTTCATTTTTGCATCGTGGGGGCCCACATCTCACTTTTGCCGTAAGCACCCAATGCAAACCCCGTAAACGAGAAGAAGGAAGAGAGAGAAGAGGCCCCCTCCACTCTCTCTCCTGAAACCCTAGCCTTGATTTTCCCATATTTGAGCTCCACATTTGTATGCATCAAATCTCTAATTCTTTTTTGGACAAGAACTCTAATTTCTCTGCTTCAAACCCGCAATTCATCTGCTTCAGAAGAGCCTGATTTCTTCTCATCAAAACGCTACTACTCAGATTTTAGGCTCTGGTCAAGATGAACGACCTTTTAACGGTGATTTTTCTTCCTTATCTCCTAATTTGTATTATACTGTGTTATTCGGATTCGATCTACTCAATTTAATCTTCTGTTTCCTTTGTGTTTATGTTTTTTTTTTTTCCTTTCATTTTTTGTTAGTACTAGTTGTATTTATACTGATCTTTTGGTAAAATATTAGTATTGAATTTAAAATTCAGCAACCATTTTGTGTTTGTTTTTTGTCTTGTGATTGGATTTCAAATTTCAATCAATGATTTCTCGAAAGTAATCTAGACAAAACTGAAGAATGTTGACTTATTTTATCTTATTGTGATTAAATTTATTCTGGTTATTTTTTTGTCGATCTGTTGGAACAGATTAAAGTTGAAATTGAGTTGAACATACTGTATTAGTCTATATTTTGCTAACGTAAATCTCCTTATTGTGAAATAACTGTGTTTTCATCAAGAAATTGGATGATTTTCTGACGTAGCTAGCTTCTGATTCTATTTGTGTTTATATTGTCTGAGCAATAAGTAGGTCTTGGCCGTTCTTTTGTCGAGATGTATCAGTTGATTTTGCATCTAGGTGGATTCCTTGTTTGGAGAAAAAAGGAAATTCAAAATTCTTTCTTTTGAGATGCTAGGGAACTTTTATTGTGGCTCTATGCATTCCCGTTATTTTCTATTTTCAGTTTTTTTTATGAAATTCTATCATGAAATGCTCGTTAACCACATATGCGAAGTGATTTCCCAGCTTTTACTTGGAGCTTAAAAACATCAGAGTTCTTTAATTTGGGATTTATTACTTCTTGGCTTCTCTGGACTGTTGCTCCAGAAAATAAACCATAACAGCTTAAAAGGAGCTTCCACAGTGAAAATCTTCTCCGTGTCTGAGCCACAATGTATTGAACAATGTGAGTCCACCATGCAGATGGTAAAGTTTACCTCTCTGTACTTAAGCACTCAAAATTCCTTGAGTGAAGGGGCTTAGTGTTTTGGCTATTTAAAACAAATGTATGAAACAATGCCCACTCTCTCTCCAACACAAACCTTGGCTCAATAAGTGAAAGTACCAAAATTGGATAGAGATGAGGGGTAAACACACTCATAGTGGGAATAAGGAATTTAGCAAACCTAGGAAACAAATTTCATTCTCATATAAAAAACTATTTCTAGTATTTTGAAGAGGAAAAAGAGATCACGAAATTTGGCATTTTTTACAATATAGAAACACTCTTGCTCAATGGCAGTGTCTAGTCGTTCTACCTTAGGGGAGAGAAGCACTTGTGATTCCATTGGTTAGGCTAGGACTGATCTGAACTTGATGTTCAGATTTGCTTCTCTTGGTTGATGGCTTCAACTCTTCTCATCCTTCTTTAGACCATGTGGATAAGGTGCACTTCTTAATTTCTACCAATACACAACCCATTATGTATGTGCTAATCTTCTTAACTTGTAGCTTGTCTTCACCAGTCCTATTGTTCTTCAGGAGACCAAAATTCATCAGTTAAACATAATAACAGATGCAATTGTGGACTTTCTCTGGCTATTCAAAGGCTATGGCAACCTTTATAATGATTGGATAAAGTTTCCCGCTTTTGATGCCATTCAAACATCCAAGGTGTCATTCGAATTCCTCCTTGGGTTTCTATGTGTGCTTTCTGTCTAAGCAGAAAACCTGGTCATTGATGTTCCCAGATAAAGACAAGCTCGCATTTGAATGAAAAGCTGGGGGTAGTGTTAGTCTCTTATGCCAGAAAGAAGATGGGGGGCTCTCGTTCTGTCCTTTGGAAATGTGTATTTTCTGGGTGGTTGACCCACAAATGTTTGTAGATGTCGAGGATATAGCTGGCGTATACAGATCCTTGAAACTATGAATACTATTGTTTGGTGTCCAGTTTCAGTAAAGTGACCAAGTGGGGATGTAGGTGAGAAAATGCTGAGAAAATCAACTGATAGAGCAGTATCTAATGACAACTACATATATCTTCGAATTGCTAAATGGCTGCCTTTGTGTAAAGCTGATAGTTTATTAAGTTCTCGATTATACTTAAGGTTTGATCCAGGAGCCAGCGGTCATGTATCGTGCACTCTGAAAGGGAGTTAACCTCAAACCTGGCAAATAATTGTTCAATGTGCTGGTCATTGACCATTCTGGATTTTGTGTGAGGTAGAATTTTTTATTTTTTTGGAAGTGTTAACTGTTGTGTGAGGTAGATATTGGTATTCATCACATTTTCAAAGGCTGCATGATAGGTCAGGCACATCACAATGTTCCGGCTAGCTGTCTTGAAGCTGAAAGACTAGACCCAATGAAACTAAAACCTTGGACATTTGCACAACATATGGCAGAGGCAAACTCTTTCCCTGCTATATACCCCCATAAGAAATCTTATGTATTAGGGTTGCCCTACATTTTGTATCATTGGAAAATGCCATTGGATGCATTCATTTAACTAATGAGTTTCAGTCATTCATAAAGCTTTCATGGTTAATGAAGACAAGGCATAGGTTATAAAGATGAGCATCTAAGCGATGAATCATGCATTGAAGAGCCTCAAATGTGAGCCTCATCTGAGAAATGATTCTCTAGTTTGAGGTGACATCCATTAAAAGTTTATAGAAATTTGGAGGTAAGAAAACCTTGTCATAAAGGTAGTTCCTCTTCACGATTATGGCTTTAATGGCTGGCTGTCCAAAAGCAACCAACATTTAGGGAAGACATTGCTACCACATGGAGCACTACAGATTCACCTTATTGAGGCAATTCTTACCCTATTTGTTACTGATGAACTTTAGGTGAGGTGGAGTAGAATGGTTTCGACACAATAGAATGGAGGAAACATTCATCTCTATTTTAAGGGAGGTGCAAATTCCTGAAAAACATAGAGTGGAAAACTGTTTCAAATTTGGATGGATAGGCACATCTCAAAATTCTTGAGGTGTGCTGCTAGACATTAAATTTTGAAAGTTTATGCCTTACAGGCCTTACCCCAATTAATTGGGAAAACGCTATGATGATGATGATGATGATGATGCCTTACAGGCCTCAACATTTGCCTCCTATGCTTCAAGGTCGGCATATTTCTTTTTGTGTGTATGCATGCGCATGTGTGTGTATGTGAGAGAGAGGGGGGGAGGGAGGGAGGCAAGTTATATGGCATATGTATATTGGTTATGGATCAGGGGATTATTTTTTTTTGTGACAACTGATCAGTAGGTTCATGTTAATGATGCAGGTTTTTGAGGCCTTTGCGATTACAATGCCTTATTGGCCTTCATGACTAATATGTCTTATCAAGCCTGCTATTGATTTTAAGCTATATGTGTAGTTCATGTTGGCCTCTGGTAGATATGCACTACTTTGCTTTTGGTTTATATTGAGTGTAAGCTGTATGTCGTCTGGTTGATATGCACTACTTTGGTATTGGTTTATATGGGGGAATAGTGTTGCAACTGTTGCCTTTATGTGTATTTATTTTCTTCAATTGACAAGGATTTCATGTTCTTCTTGTTGTGATGGTGAGCTTTCAGGATTCCTTTGAGGTCCCTAGGAAACCCCAAAGGGAGCCAGATATTGAAATGGGAATGCAAGTTCCAGCTAATGCCTCAGATTTGGGAATGGAAGATTTCTTCAAACAGGTAATTGCACATTTTAAAAATTTTGAACTTTATTCTTTAAGGTGATATAAGCTTCTTCTTTCCATATCTATTTTTTGATATCTTTTGGGCCTTTTTTTGTTAGGTACGAGAGATTGAGAAGCAAATCGATAAGATCGCTAAGCTGTTGCAGAAACTTCAGGTATCTTCTTCGATTAAGATCTTTTTATTACTCAAAATGGTAGGACAGTATCGTCATCTTTTGTAATTTGGAGCACAATTTGTACTTGTCATTTAATGAGCTATAGTTATCTCTATTGGGACTTTGTTGGTGAGGATTTAGTGCATTGTTTTAAAATGCGACTGCATCATGCGATATGCACCAGGAGGCGCATTGCAAAACAGTTCATATGTGCTTTGGAGGGATGTGCCGCATACCATTGCATATGCGGCCATATAGCGCATACGTCGCGCATGGTGATGGCAAAAATAGACCCCACAAAAATGGATACTTAAGCAATTTCCCCCCAAAAAGAAGGGGGGGGGGGTGTTACCCCCCCCTTGAAAACATAAAAAAAAATGAGCGGAAATTGTTTTTGAGAAAATATTTCGATTTGGTCTTGGTGGATTTTTGCTTGTTGATAGGGATTAGTTTGGGTGTTGATTTGAAGAAGTTTTGAGTGAAGATTTGACAACATATTGAGTGTTCCAAGGCTGAGAAGATATCGATATTTTCTTCAATTAATCATTAAGTTTTTATAATACAGTAATAACTTTTTTTGGGGCAATGTCTTCTTCCGAAAGACCAAAATTGTGTTGTTTGTACTCTTTGTGGATGCATTAACCTATTTTTTGAGTTTTTTTTTATATTTATTGACCGCATCAGGCTGATGCACTTGCACCTGGACCGCATCGCCGCATTGGCCCCCCGACCGCATCGGGACTGCATGCCGCATTTAAAACACTGATTTAGTGCTATCAAATTTATGGAGATTTATTAAAAGCCAGAACCTTCCCACTGTAGTCATTATCTTGTCTGGAACCTTGTTTCATGGTTTGGTGCAAGGTTTGATCAGATCTCTTTTTGCCACTGCTTATCTTTCATTAGTTTCCCTTTTAGAGCTAACTTATAAATGAATCACTAATCCATTTCGGTCCAACTTCATTGTTTCCGCACTCTTCTTGTAATGGCTCTCTTCAGAGTATGTTATCTCATTGCTTTGGAACTGATTAACATAACCTTTATTATTTTTTAATGTAAATAGATGATAGTGTATTTATAGATGTAAGCAAGCGTTCTTGATTAATCAGAAGCATGAATTGTACAAGAGCAATAAACATGATTAAATATGGTTTTCATTCATCTGTTTCTATTTGATTCAATGATATTGTGAGTCTTCACTTTCCTTTTTCTATTTTCCCTCCTTGTAGTGATACATTTTCTTTAGATGGTGTTTCTTTTATAATTTTTTAAGTTTTATTCTAGAATAATTCCTGTTGTTGTCAGGACTGCAATTTGTTATTTTTCGTCCAAGTGATTCATTTGTTCCACTCAATGTTATATGATGATTGGAAAGTACGTTTGTATTTGAACCACGTGCAGGAAGCCAATGAGGAGACCAAGTCAGTCACCAAAGCTTCTGCTATGAAATGTGAGAGGACCTCCTCTACTTCGCATTTATTTCATTTCAGGCATGATAACTCGAAATTTGCTGAATTGAAACTTCTTTTGTCTATTGCAGCAATTAAGCAGAGAATGGAGAAAGATGTGGATGAAGTGGGAAGAATAGCACGTAATATTAAATCGAAGCTTGAAGAACTAGACAAAGATGTATGTCTTATTTTAGTGGTTCTATTTTTAATTTCTCTTGTATAATTATTCAATGAGGATAATGCATCTCATTTTTGGATTTGATGCTATTATTGGATTCCGTGGGGGTTGCTTTATTAGTGCTGAAATTCATTTTTGTTTTTGTCATTCAGAACTTAGCCAACAGGCAGAGGCCTGGATGTGGGAAGGGAACTGGTGTGGACCGTTCAAGAACAGCCATGACTGTGTAGGACACTAAACTACATTTCTTGAACTTCCTGAATATTGTTTTATGGCCCAAATTGTTCTTACAACTGTTATGTTTTCTGACCCAGGTCCTTGAAGAAGAAGTTGAAGGACAAGATGACTGACTTCCAGGTTTACATTCTAGACTGAACCCCCGCCCTCGCTCCACCTCCTCTCATACACACACACACTCAGATTTCTCAGATTTGGTTTTGCAGACTCTGAGGCAAAACATCCACGAAGAATATCGCGAGGTTGTTGAGAGAAGGGTCTTTACAGGTACTCTGCTGCTGCCTGTATTTGAATTATAGAAATTATTTTTATCTATCTGCTGATACTGAAGTTGGACTTGTCATCTATTTCATTCACCTATTGGACCTTCTTCCAGTGACTGGTACCAGAGCTGATGAAGAGGTGAGCTTCTTTTTTGTTTAGCTCAAGGCTTTTCTGATGTTTAGAGTTCCTTATAAAGATTTTTTGTGTTGTTTATGTGGAATGCTTTGGCATTTTATAATGTTGTGAAAGCTGGATCCTCTATAGACAATTGATCATCTGATAGAGACCGGAAACAGTGAGCAGATCTTCCAAAAAGCAATTCAAGAACATGGTGGGCGAGGCCAGGTTAGTTAATCTCAATGTTCAAATTTCTTTAAATTTGGGTTAGTTTATGGTGGGAGACTATAAGTTTGGATTTGGAACAAACTTTGGGTGATTTTTCCTTGTGAAAAAAGTCAATTTTGAAAAAAAGGAAAATTAGCCAAATCTGGATATCTGGATTTGATTTCTACAACATCTGGAAAATATTTTATTTATTTCTGTTGATTTTGAACCATCTCATATTATGAATAACAGTCACGTGGACATCAGCTATTATATATTCTTTTGGTTCATCCAAAATGACCAAAACTGATTTAACTTTAGCCCAAGATTTCTTGTAGTAATGGTGACCATTCTAAGTTGTTTGGTAACGACCATGATGTCCAAGAGAGGATGCTATATTTGAAAAGGAAGCGATCGGAAGGGAAAGTGTACATGGAAGAATCCATTTCCTCATAAACTTCACCTCTTTTCTTAAAATCTTTTTGGAGAATTAGATAGTGTGACAGGAAGACAAGTCAATCAAGACTACTTTTTATTCACATTATTGCTTCAACAATGGGTAGTGCTCTTTTCCTTTCGTGACAATGTCAATGATCGAGGGAAATTGATTACATCTAATTGCTCATTAAGAACAGACAAACATAGTCGTGCGCAATGCTCTTTTCATCAGTTTATGCATTGGAATTTTAAATTAATGGCTGGCTATCAATCACGCAAACACTTCATTTTTCTCCTTTTGAATGTCAATTTTTTGTTTGTGGTTCTCCCCGGTATTCAAGACTGGTATATTAAGCTGTTTGCTTGTGTTGTGTTCAGATAATGGATACACTTGCAGAAATTCAGGAGCGGCATGATGCAGTAAGAGATCTAGAGAAAAAGCTTCTAGACTTGCATCAGGTACTTAGTTCTATCTCTCTCTCTCTCTCTCTCTCTTACACACACACAAATGGGTCACTTCATTTTGTGATGGATTACTTAAATGGGTCTCTTCAATTTTTTTTCTATTCACATCTTTGGCATTTCAATAGGTTTTCTTAGATATGGCGGTACTAGTTGAAGCGCAAGGAGAAATGTTGGATAATATTGAGACTCAGGTAAGATTTTAGTTCAGTGGTTAATTTATTACTTAAAGCTCTGAGGGTAAAATAAGTGTCATATTGACCCTACTTGCAAGATGAAATTCCCTAAATTTCAATGACAAATACTTTCTTGTTTAATTAACTTTTAGTAATTTGAGACATTACAGTATCAATAGAACCTGTGCACATGACTAACCAATTCATCTTGGATGCCCAGATATGATGCACTTGGCTACAACATTGAGTTTATAGTGATATTTGATTAGGATACACCGATTTTGAAGTTCGTAGATTGCATGTGGAGAGAGAGAGAGAGAGAGAGAGAGAGATTTGGTTTTGGTTTTGGTTTTGGTTTTGATTTTTGTTTAAGTTTTCTCCTTTGGGAGGAGAGATGGTGTTTTTGGGGACCACAGCTTGGAGACAGTTTTACCTTGAATTTTGACAATTAACCATGGGGATTTTTGTGCACTTGCTTCCATGTTTTTGCTGCTCCTATCCAAAACGGGAAGGAACAGCTGGAACAATATGTTGGCTTTAATCTGCACCCACTCGGATGGCTCTATATAATGAATTCATGGGTGCGAAAGGCAACCCCTTTCATTAATTGTTGACCCAATATTTTCTCTCGACATTCCCTAGAAACAAAAAATGTTTATGCAATATCCTTTTATTAGTGCTGAACTTTCGCTGTATTTCCTGGTCTTGAAATTTCTTGAAATTAGAGTCTCCCTTTTCTAATATCGAAACCATGTTTCTCAGCACTAAATTCTTGATCTAAATTAGTCCAAAAGTTCCTCATTTTAATTAGGGATTGTATATTATGAGACTATTTATCTTTCTTACAAGGAGGTCACCATTATTTCTAGCTATCATATGTTAAATAGGATGGTTTGGGGTGTGCCACGAAATTTTTATTTATTTATTTTTTTGATTGGCAAGGTGTGCCACGAAATTCAAGAAAATGTTTTTGAACTTTGAGTCTAATCAATGACATGCTCATAACCACCCAATTTGATATCTAAAAGACATGAGTGATTGTGACCTTCTTGTGTTAAAAGTAAATGATCTCTTTGTAATACTTTTCCTTGTAATTATTTTTGACATCGCATTGTTGTCTTCTCTCTTCACCAGGTAATACTTTTCCTTGTAATTATTTTTGACTTAGCATTGTTTTCTTCTCTCTGTGCCAGGTAACCAATGCAGTGGACCATGTCCAGTCAGGTACCGTTGCTCTTCAGAAAGCAAAGCGTCTTCAGAGGAACTCTCGCAAATGGATGTGTATCGCCATCATCATTCTCCTCATTATTGTTGCGATCGTTGTTGTTGGGGTCCTCAAACCATGGAACAGCAGCAAGAGTTCATAGTCCTCTCGTCTCTCACTATTTTGGTGTTAATATTTTTTTTCCCTCTCTCACACACATGCACACATCAATCTTTCCTGTTTATTCTTCTGTTGGGTTAAGTTTGAAACCCTGAGCTCCCACTCAGGTTGGCACCTGAAGCTCTCTCTCTCCCCCTCTCTCTCTCCTCTCTCTTTCTCTCCTCTCTCTTTCTCTCTTGAGGGGGTCAGGGGACAAGTATCAATGATTATGGCGGCTTGTAATTTGCTTTATTTTTATTTTGTTTATGAGAAGGTCATTCTGTTTGATTATTTCCTCTTGCTCTTCGCCTTTTTATGTACTGTAGTTGGTTGGATTGACGAGGGTGATGTGTAATGGAAACGTGGTTTACAATTTTTTTGGAGTATAAATTGGTTTTTGGTTACTTCTAGCCGAATAACAACAGAACCCATACACAAATTTTTAAATAAATCTTCAATTTTTTGAAATCCATGAACTCTTAGAGGTTTTTAAATGATCTTCAAATATTTGTATTTTTTTAATGCAGTCAATATAAATTTGTATTTTATCTTTTCTCAAAAAATATTTTCAAAGATTTCTTCCTAATAGGTTTATTTTTTTATTAATTTAATATCTTTGAATCTTGACATTAAAAGTGGGAGTAAAGTGCGGATCTTAATTTAACAAAAAAAATTGTACAAATTTTTACTAATATATGCCTATAAACAAAGGTTCATTACAAAGAGCAAGAGACACGATCAATGATAGCTAAAGATTTAGATAGCCAGGAATTCAGGTGTATTTCCAATATTTGGATTTGCTTAAAAAAATTTGTTGTTTTCTTTATGCATGCAGAAGTATTATTGATTTAATATTTCCATTTTTTTTTCATTTGTTTTTACAACATACATAACATTTTGGATGGATTACTATTTTACATTTTGGATTTTGTGTTTTAGTTAACAAGAATTTTATATTGGTTTTTTTTTTTTTCTTTGAACAACAATCGTATATATTGAATTATCGTTGTTGTTGTTTGCTAATATGGTTTGTTTTGTGTTTAGTATTATTGTTGTTGTTTCATTTTATTCTCCTAATAAATCTATTATATGTTTTGTGTCATGATGAAAGAGTAAACCATGTTGTATTTATTGGAAGTTTTAAAAAAATATTTATCGAATATGACTATATAAGGATATAAAGTTATTTTTCAATGGCTTTAATGTATTTAGACTTTTGTAGAATAATGGTAACTCATAATCTTATACTTTGTTATCTTTACATATGCAACTTTTTCACTCCGTTTTTTTTATCCAAATATGAAATATTCATGACTCTCTTACCTAATTTTTGATGATCCATATTTTTGGCCTACCTTTTTTTGGAGCAAAACTAATTTATTACCGATGTTTTAGTTTGTTGATATATTATTATTTTCCAACTTGCTAACTATGAATAGACCACTAGTACACATAAGTTAGTATTTTGGGTGGTGGAATTTTGGTAGTCGGTTCTTGGATTCTTTTTCTATTCTTTTTTTTTTCTACGTGGGAGAATTTTTTTTGTCTTGAAAGGGTCCTATTTGGATTCCAGTGGAGCTGAAATGCGAGATTAGAAATCGATAACAGTCGTGTAGCTCTACGAACAAAGTCCATTTCAAGCGCCCATGTGACTACGCGCACACGGTGCTTGATTTGTTTTTATGGCAACTTCGAACGGGCAGAAATGGAACTCCCGATGTCAGGTTAGAGCTTGGGGCCTACGCCACGGCTAAAAGACCTGAGACCTACTTTGTTGAGCTTATGGGCCTTGATTGCAATCTCAGCCTGGTCCGATGGGACCCATGAAGGAGCCCTAACCCAGGACAGGTTGAGCCTTCAAAAGCGCCTGGCCGGCGTGGTCTAGTTGCACCTCTAGTTGTAGCTCTGCCTGAAACGATTGTGCCAAGATTTTCGTCTCCATGTGATCCTTATTTATATGAGATTGTTTACAAAAAGTACAATTATCTTTTGTACATAGAGGTCACAATCGTTTTTGTCTTTTAAATGTAATAATGTCATCGAATATACACAAAGATCCAAAAAATATTATCATTATCTTTTGTGCATAAAAGTCACAATCATTCTTGTCTTTTAAATTTTAAAATGGGTAGTTAAGAGTGTCATTGAATAGACACAAAATTCTAAAAGAAAATTATCAGATTTCATCACTCATTCCAAGTCATCTAATTTGACATCTAATGAGTGAAAATGATTGTGAGTTTCATGTACAAAAAAATAAATAGTCTCTTTCAACAAAACCTACTTATATTCGACTTTTTCATTCATATTCTTTCGGATGGCAGACCCATCTGAAAAGCACATATCGATAAACCGATTTGTGCTCTAGACTTTCACGGTGAAACGTATGTGATTTTAGAGAGAGAGACAGAGCATGTAGTTGAAGTGTTCATATATTCATAATTTTATTCCGAGAGAGAAGCGAGGGAGGGAGCACGTAAAGCTCATATTTCTGTTTCGTGGTTCGTGTTCATATATTCATAATTTTATTCGGAGAGAGAAGCGAGGGAGGGGGTACGTAAAGTTCATATTTCCGTTTGGTGGTTCTTCAGGTGTGGTGTTGACGAAGCCATGCCCCAGCTAATGCTTCGTGGTTGGGTAGGTAGCAGGACTACAGGGAAAAAAGGGTAATAATGTAATTGATGCGGTTCGTATAAGGTTGTAATTTTAAATAATTAAATTAGTACGCACTACTAAATTTTATTATGAGATATAATTTTGGTGTCAATTTTTTAGGATGATTTGAAAATCTATTTTAATCTCTAGTTATAAAATTTTGAACTCTAAAAATAGTTCAAATCAAGTAGATTAATAAACACATGAAAATTTTGAAAATAGACAGTCTAGATAATATGTTGCAAATCATACAATTTTTTATATTTGAAATCTTCTTTTTTTTTTTATGTCCATATATTTAGATGTCAAGATGATTAATTATCAAGCTTTTTAACATCAAAACGAGTTTTTCCGGTGGATTTTTTAGGTGTATTTTAATTCTACATTTTAAGGTTGTAATTTTATATAATTTTTTTCTTAATACGATTAGATGAATTATCAAGGTTTTTATTTTTATCATTCTTTCCAAATTTTATTGAGGGAAAATTTAGCAATTTATTTTTAAGTTTTGTAACATCTATGTACACATTTTTTTAGTAGAGAGGATTGAATCCAGAGATGCCACATGAGTGAGAGAAAAGCGTAGTTGCATGCCGTAGATTGATATCTCATTTCGACACATTGCAATCAGCTTTGGAGAGAGAAAGAGAGCGATGATCATTAAACTGTGACCCTTTTAAGCTCTTGACATTTGAATTTCGGCGAAATTTCGCGCTCCATCTCCCACGAAATCAACGAGTAACTGCCACCCCAAATTCCATGTTGCTGTTGCCGAAATTTCAGGCATGCCAAACAAAACCCGAAATTTCGGACCTTTAATTTTTTAATAATTTTTTTGAAAGTGATATAAAAGAAATACTCCAATGGAATCTGAATCAAAAATATATCCATCAAAAAGCAAACCTGAATCTCTTTCATCAAATCTATCCCTGTGAAAAATCAGGCCTTTTTAAAAAATCAAACCCCAAAAAAGAAATGGGTCCTGGACTTTACTCTGAAATTGGGAAAAAAGCTAGAGGTATTTATATGAAATTATGAAATATCAGTAATTTTCATTTTGGTTTCATTTTTTCTCCCATATGTTTTTCAGTTGTGAAATTCTTGCATGAGGAATTATAATTACTGAGTTTTCTTCACCAATTTGTCATTTATTTATTTGTTTATTTATTATTTATTTACTTTTCTTTTTCAGATCTTCTGTATAGGGATTACCAGACTGATCAGAAGTTTGTTCTTACAACCTGCACACCAACAGGAGTGGTAATTTTTTGCATTTCTTAAATGGGTTTTCTTTATTTTTTAAAATTTTTGTGCTTTTTGTACAATTTCTGATTGTTTGGTTATTTTTTATTTGTTTGGTTACAAACTCTGATTAATTTTTTCAGTACAGATCTAATTTTCTTTTGGGTTTTGCCGAAAACTTGAAATCATTCATGGATTGATTATATCTGTCCAAAAAAGACCGATTAGTGATTAAATTTTCCTTAGATATGTATCAAAGTTCAACATTAGAAGTTTTTTTAAGATTCCAAATTATCTGTTTTTTTAAGTTTTATATCTCAAGGTAAACCTTAACTTGGTCATAAAAATTCTAACCTAATATTTTTACCCCCAAATAAATATAAAAAACACGTATCATTTCTAAACACATCCTTTTTCTCTCTTTGATTTTCTCCTAAATCTCTCTCTACCTATTTTCCAGCATTCTCTCCGGTGTCTCTCACTCTTTCTCTCCATTAAAGAGATAAAAGAGTAAAGAGGAGGATTTAGAATGAGCATGCCTTTTTTATATTCCCATTAAAGAGATAAAAGAGTAAATAGGAGGATTTAAAATGAACATCCTTTTTTATATTTGTTAGGGCTAAATAATTTGTTAAAAGTGAGAAAAGTTGGTCAAGAATTAGGAGATATATTTTGCATATTTTGGTCTATCAGATATGAAAACCAAAACTAAAAAGTACAAGGATATTTTCCCTTTATTTAATTTCTCTTTATATGATTTAATGATGGAATTGATGGGCGATATAGCGTCGATCCTACCATAATTTTGCTTAAAACAGAATTCTCAAGGATTTTGCATCAACGACTAAGTCTTTCTTTTTTAGGTTTTCGATGACTAATTCTATGAATGACTTCTTATTTCTTCTATCCTGAACATGAATATCAGTAATACGTTGTTTATTGGCACTTCACACACACACAGATTAACATGGAAAGCAGGTAGCTTGATGACATTTTAAACAGAGTCAGAGATCTTAACATGGAAGAGAGGTAGCAAAGTGACATTCAACAGAGAGAGAGAGATTTTCACAAGGAAAACAGGGTAGCTTATAGTGATCTTTAATTCTTTCTATGAGACCACGACACTGAGGCTAACAAGTACGAACCCAATGAAACACATACTCTTTTTTAAAGAAGGGTTTCTTTCACCCCATGATCATACAGTTTGTATGATATGTCATATGACTATACCCTGCAATCAAATTCTTTGTTTTAAGAAGTTGGTGGAGCTCTTTAATTGAATCTTACCCTGCCCTGGCTCTCTCTCTCTCTCTCTCTGTTCAATTTGCAGACAGTTACAACAACTGGGGCAAAGATAGGAGACCTCTTTGTAGCTGATCTGAGCACTCAGCTTAGAAAGAAGAACATTACCACAGATATCAAAGTTGACATAAACTCCAATGTAATACATCCAATAATTCACATTTTTCCCTCTTCTTCTCTTTCTTCTATTTTTTCTTCTTCTACATGTTTTTTGCTCTCAGTTTCTCTAACTAGCATTATATGAGTATTTCGATTCTGGGATAACTAATGGATTTGCATTTTCCAGCTCTTTGCTACCATGACGGTTGATGAACCAGCGCCTGGGGCGAAGGCCATACTTAGCTATGCAATTCCTGATCAAAGATCCCCAAGGTAACACCATTGTTGCAAGACCAGAGTTCAAAATTTATCAGTAGGCCTAAAACTTGCATCTCACTTCTGTCATAATCAACTTGGCACTAATATTGGTTCGGAAATTATGCCATTACATCTCTCCCTCTCTCTCTCTCTCTCTCTCTCTCTCTCTCTCTCTCTACTCTACACTACTACTACTACTACGTACGTACGTACGTACGTACGTACGTACGTACGTACGTACGTACGTACGTACGTACGTACGTACGTACGTACGTACGTACGTACGTACGTACGTACGTACGTACGTACGTACGTACGTACGTACGTACGTACGTACGTACGTACGTA